TTTGTAGATTTATTGAGAAAAATGAATAGATATTTTGACACTTTAATATTACCTAAAAAATGACATAGCCCGTGCATTCTATGGGTGGAAAACTAGTATATTAATGAATGTCAAAATTGTCAGCTTAGGGTGTAGAGCGGTTGATCCCTTGTCAATGTATTAAATGTATGACAGAAGGTGATGTGAGACCTCGGTTAATGAGATGAAGCCATTTGATCTTGATCCAATGACTACCACGTTGGCCAAACTCTATAAATAGCAACTCTTGTAATATTTGAAATGAGGCAACTTTATATACTTGAAATCACACTCAATCTTCTCCCTTGCTTTTTCATACCTATTTGCATGAGTTTAGATTATTTCTACTTGGGTGGAATTATTTGTGATTGTTCATTAGTTTGCAATCATCTTCGATCATATTGCCGATGCTTGAACACTTTTTTCTCGTGTAATAAAGTGTCTTCCACGTCCACAATAATCTCTCTCCATCCAAATCTCCAATCAAAACGTGTTGAAATTTGCTTGCGTAAACACAAACTGGCTCAACATCTGTTATCCACGTGATCATTACAAAAATGGGATCAACAAGCTCGATATAGAACATGTTATGAAGATCAACAGTTAAAAGTTTTTTTCTCGAATTATTACGATAGAATAAGTTAAAAGTTTGCTTATTTTCGACGGCGTTTTTCCATCGAATGAGAAAGGATAACTACTTTGCATTTTTATGTTTTGGATTCACTGACTGAAAATAGCTCCATTGCATGCTTGAAAAATGAAATAGCGATGGAAATTATTCAGTTACCTGCAATAATCAATCTCAGGAACAAAGCCTTCTAATGTTTAATGTTCAATTCCTGGCGATATATTTATTAGGGAACTTCAATTTGTTCACAAGAGGCTTTACTGCTCTCTTTTCCCAACAACACTAATACCACTCTAGATTCTTGTGATTCATTAATAAATTATCTCTTGGCTAACAGAATACGTCCCTCCTCTAAAGGGTGTTGGGGCTCCACCTTCTTGTTAGGTAATAAAACAAACTTTACTTTGTTAAATACAAAACGATATGTATTTTGCCTTCCATCATGAATAGCATCCCTATCATATGGCCATGTGTAGCGGAATTGATCTTCAATCTGTGGATTTCGGGTTCAGATTAAACTTACCATTCAATATCAATCAACCAACCAAAAACTCCAACCCACAACTCTATTCACTTATGGTTGCATTCCTTCTTTCTCACCCATAAAGAGACAAGGTTATGGTGGTGACTGCAAGCTACAAAGGCTAAGAGATGACAAGGAAGGCAAGAACTTGAAGGAGATCACAAAGAGGGCAACCACATTCTTTCTTCTCAAACAAAGCGCAAACACACAGCTTCCATACATTGAAGATGGATATATATAGCATTAGGTTATATTATCAATTGGGCTAAGACACAAGGTAATGGACTAAGACATAAGAAAGCCTTCCTATAAGTGAATTTGAGCCAAGGCAACATTAAAACCAATTAAGTTACTACTAGTGGCCCACATTGTTTTTGGGTTGAGCATATGAATTGATTGGTTGATAAATATTTCACTCATTGACTCAGTCTTATGAAATATAATCCGAAATTGTTTAACATTATCGCCCCGAATTAATTGGGTATCAAAACCCAACACCATGGTCAACTCGATAAACGATGACATGTATCCATAACCTATCCTTGTATTTCGCACCAATAGAAGATGATACTAAGCAACATTTAGAAACTGTTACCTCATTTCTTTTTCTTGAGATAAGCCGATTTGGAAAGACTAGGATGGTTTTCCATCTCCATTCCTAACTTCTTAACAGCCTCCTCAGAAAATCACATTTTCACAGCTACCTAAATCAATGACAAGCTTGCAAACCTTGCCGAATGGTACAAGACGGTTTGAAATTTTGTACTTGCATCCATTCGCAAAAAACGGAATTATTCATTCATGTAAAATCTATATGAAATTCTTGGATTGATATAACTATTTTCAAGTTTTTTTTTTTTTTTTTCAAATCTCCAACTCATATATATATTCTATTTATAATCAAAATGAAGCATCTTGGAAAACAAACACATATTGTACTTTCATTCTCAAATCCAAGTCCACTCTATCCTCATTTATTCTAACCTGAATTATAATATGATTTAGCCATGGTCGACAACTATTAAAATAAATTATTTTTTTTAAATTCATTTTCAATCACATATTCTTGCAATAAAATATTTTGCACGTAAATTCAAAATCTTTTTTCTACTTTTTAACCACAACTTCTTCAAAATCATTATTTCAAAACCTATTTTCTCAAACAAAAAAAAATAAAAAAATAAATCATTTTATTTGTTTTCAAACATATGCCTATTAGGATTCGTTTGATTGTAAAGATGGATTTGAATTGAATTGAATTGAATTGAAAACAAATTTCAATTAATTGAATTGCCTAGAAATTATTTTCTTGGGAATTGTAAATTATTGTGTTTGATTGGTATAATTTTCCATGTGAAAAATGTTGAAATAAAAAATATTTTTTGATATTCGTTTAGCTTTATTTTATATAAAAATTGTCAATTAAATGGATAAAATTTACTGATATTGGGGATAAAATTTGTTTCCATTGTAAAAAAAATCAAGAAAATAATCTATCTTTTGTGTTCGTTTAGTTTTGTTTTACATAAAAATTGTCAATTAAATGAAAAGATTTTCTTACAATAATTTTTTGAATTTGTTTACTTTGTCAAAAAAAAATAATAATAATATGCTACAGTAACCGGAAAACCAATTCCCACATTGAAAACCAAGAAAATACAATTCCATGGAAAATAAAACATATCAAACAAACAAAATTAGAAAAATGTGAAATTCGAATTCCATTTTCCATGAAATTCGAACCAATCAAACAAGGCCTTAGTGTCCCTACTGATTTAGGTTTCTCAACAGCCGCTAGTAACAGACGTTGATCTTCCTTCTCCAATTTGTCTAAAATGTTCATTATTATTTTTATTTCTATTTATTGGCATGTGAATACAAGGAAAACAAAAGGAAAAGTAAAAAAAATACCACATTTTCAATAAGAGAGAGAGAGAGATGATTGGTTGCAAAAAGTCTATTGCTTTGACTCTAGCGTGCACTCATCATCCTACAAAGCGAACGCGTATTTTGCGGTCAATCATTGTTTCGAACATTCCACCAAATGCTTTCTCAGTTTTTACGATATACCTGCTTACTTTATACATTCGATAATTCAAACTTATATTTGTACAATGATTGCATTCAAATTTGCTTCGTGATCTATTACTCGTTTTATTTATTTATAATTTAAATTGTTTATAAATACTTTTCAGATTTGAATCTTTGCAAACAAAAGATAACATAAAATAAGGACTACAATCAATCGAGTGTGAACATATCGGAGGGTATAGGAATGATATTTCAAAAACATTTTTGTGGGCACCATTAAGTTACAAAACAAAAGTGTGTAACAAATGTGCAAGTTCTTCAATCCTCTTAGTCATTCAACATTTAAAATTGATACGTTAATTAAATTAGATAAAATTGTAAGAAAAATAAAATGTATAATTTAATTTTTTCTGCTTTTATCGGGTTCAACATTTCAAATATATTTATTTTCAAGATATTAATTAGTTAATTGAGTATTAGAATTTTAATTTTTCAAAGTCAACGAATTTGGTTCCGAACAAATTTTTTGACCTGCCATTTGTTGGCTTGTTCACGTTGCCTCCATTTTATTTTACTAAAATTCTACTTTTTCAAGAAATGAGTTATTGATTAATGTATAGCTTTTGTGGATATCACAAAATCGAAACGGGTGATTAAAATTAGAGTAATGCTATTCGTAGTCGCTCACTGCGGCAGTCGACCTACGTAGCATACACATGGCAGGTGATTATTTGATACATTAATGTTGTAGTTTTTTTATTCATTAATATATCAAATAACCACCTACCATGTGTATGCCACGTAAGGTGACTGCTGTAGTGAGCGACTGTAAATAGCATTATTCTTAAAATTAATGTTTAACTTAAAAAATAGAATTTTAGCAAAAGAAAATGAAATCCAAACGGAACCAATGTAATAAAAAAATAATTCATTTGATATTTTTTTCTTATGTAGAACGTGTAATGTATCATGACTATCAGTGGTCCAGTTCATTTGTAGAGTCAAAGCATTATTAGATCTTGAAAAATGTAACAATTTGTGTGAAACTGCCCTTGCTACAAACCAAAATATTACCTAGAAGTTGTTTCGTTTGAACTAGGATAAGGGTTGATTTTTCTCTCTTATGAAATTATATGTGGCGTAAGTCAATGAACCTTTCTTACATTAGACAGAGACGTGTAAACGTTGATCAATCAAAAAATGGAAGCTAGTAGACAAAAAATCACTCATAGATCAAATAATCAAAATGGAAGCTAGTCGATGATTCATTGCAAATGAAGTTTGGTCAATTATAAAAATTGTTGGACCTCGTCCAACCTTAACTGTGAATTCACCGTGAATGTGGTTAGGTTGTTATTGTATACTACGCGGTAATTTCAATAAAAAAATAGCGGATACGCTATGAAAACAAAGACGTATATGTATCTTTATACAGGTATATGTGCTTACCTAATCAGAATCAATGTTCTATTTCTTTCCAAGATTGAACTCAATTTCACAATCAACATGTCCTAGAGATAGGTATCATACATATGTTACGTGCTCATCAATCTAGATTCGTTTCACGTTCATGTAAATTTTCAAACAGTCCCGTTGTTATTGTTGTTGTTGTTGATGATGTTGAGTACAATTATGTTGTGTTTATTAAAAATCTACATGACAACATGTCATGACTCATAAGTCATAACCAAGAAATTTCATTCACTGATTTCCTCGTTGAACTAAAATTTAAGCATCAAATCGAAAATTTTCCAAAGTCAATGTTCCACATTCAAACCCGTTGAAATACATGGTTTCCTACCCTATCATTTTTCCATGGAATCCCAACAGCTCAAGTAATTTACACACATAAAAAATTAAATAAGGTCTTAATATTCCAATCTACGAATTTCTATAACAAGCACTCCATCCTCCTAAAATTTTACCTCCCGATTTCCAAATTATTCGACCATGGGTATCAATGACGATGATCACCCTTTCAACCGTCGAAGAAACAATTATGATCTTAACAGTAAGATTATGCTCACAGCCATAATTTCATTATCATTTGTGGTGTTTCTTGTCACCATCCTCCACATATATGCAAGATATGTCCTTCGCCGCCAAGCACGGCGTCAGGCCACCTTGCGTCACCTAGGCTTCATTACAAGCACCGCCAATATCCAGTCGATGGAGCTACCAAAGACCGGCCTCGACCCATCTATCATGGCGTTGTTGCCCATATTTGTGTTCAAGCAAACAAATGGAAATAGTAGTGATGAAATGGGGTCAAGTTCAATTGAGTGCTCAGTATGTTTGAGCATGTTAGAAGATGGTGAAATGGCTAGGACCTTGCCAAATTGTAAGCACACTTTCCATGTTGAGTGCATTGACAAATGGTTTGGCTCAAACTCAACCTGCCCGATTTGCAGGGCAGAGGCCGAACCCCGGCTGGTGGCGGAGCCACGGGAGGGCATGGCCGGTGCCGCCGGAGCTCCGCCACTCCATGGTGGTAATTCTATGATTATGACAACCATTGAAGGAACATCAGATGGTGGAATTTTATCCACAGCTAAAATTGTTGGATCAAGTTCGAGATTAAGTTCATTCAGAAGAATTCTTACTAGAGAAAGATCATCTCGAAGAATCCAATCCTGTGGTCAAGAAGATGGATTTCCAGATATTGAGAGGCAATAATTATAGTATATCAAGGTACAAGCATCCATCTAGCATTTGATACTACATATATTGTTTCCATTTGCATCCAATTCACAGAATGAGAAATTAGACATACAGGAGGAGAATTCTCGATTCCAGGGGATGTCACTCGATTAGATTCGACAGTAAAATTTATAAAATTTGACATCAATATGATCACATGCTATAGTATTCATGTTTACCAAAAGAAAAGAGGGTTATGTTTTTTCTTTTCTTTTCCTTTTTCTTTTTCTTTTTCTTTTTTTCTTTCCCTTCCAGATTAAGAATTTATTTATGTATTTAGAAATGTAGCTAGGAGACTGTGTGTATAAATATTCAACCATTGAGATTCTGTATGTCGATAAATCAAAATTTATTTGTATGTTCAAATATGTGATAATATTTGAAGATTAATTAATATTAGATTAATGAGTATAGATTTAAAATGTCTGATAATGAAAAAGATTCTTGTATTTGGTAACCTAAAGATTAATATGATAAGTGGCATGCCAATATAATATTTTATTAATTAGATTGCTAGGGGTTGCCGGTGGCACCATGTGAACTCTAGACTAAAAATAAAGTTTCTAATTGTCAACTTTTGACTTACGAATTAATTTATTTGTTATATTATTTTAAAAAAAAATGCATTATTATTATGAGCTTTATTGACTTTGTAAAAGGGGTGGTAAAAGATGGCCATCAATAATTGGACTATTTTAACTATTTTTAGATGTTGGAATTTTAGAATTTGATTTTCATAATATATTAATTTCAAAAACCAAAAAGGCCACTTTCTAATGTAATACACAAAATGGAAAATAGGGGTCGTAATCATTCTTCTTCCCCCATCTTCTAAGCACGCGCCATCCACATGAGAGTTGTTTCTTGAATCCAAAAGAGAGGACGTCCACTTTGCCAGCAATCAAAACCGAAGCATGGCTAAATTTGATTGCATATTTGGGGTTCACGTCCGTGGAGCAATGAAATCAGAAAATGAAAGATCCTAATAGTATAATATTTAATGTAACTCGATGAAACAAGAAAAGTAGGAAGTACATATAGTATGGGAAAGTAAGGGCATAATAACATGGATTACTTCATAGCATAAGAAGAGAAGAATCTCACACGCAACCACTAATTGACTAAACATGGTATAATTAACATCAATTAATTGCCAGCGCAACCACTAATTGACTAGAACTAGTATAATTAACACCCATATTTGATTAATTGCCATTCAATTATGTATCCACTTTCTTCCAATATTATTAAAGCTAGTGATATTGACATAGAGTTATTTCCCCTAAATTTATTTATTTATTTATACTTTTGTATTTCCATCGGTGCCTCTCTTCCCACCCTCGTTTCCATCTAGCTCGAAAGGAATGGATTTTTCTTTTTCTTTTTCCTTTACACATCGCTCTTTGTGCAATAGTTATTGATACTTATGATTCCATCTTAAAAGATTAGTAGTTTTTTATTTAACCGATATGAAATTTTACCCAAGTAAGCACTCTGCAAATGATAACTTGTTTAAAAATATCAATATTGAAATTTAATGGCTTGGATGGATTGAGTTATTTAATTGAATTTATTGAGCTTTGATGTAAATAAATCAATGAGTAAACTGTGCTCATTCATTTATTTATTTATTGAAATCTGATTAAAAATACTACATAAGATATTTCTTAAATCAACTGTTAAAGGTATTACTTAAATTTGGTAGCTCAAAAACTTCTTAGCTTATGTTTGATCCCTACTTTTGGGATAAAATGTATTATGGAAGTGATTTTTTTAAGAATGTGTAGTTTAAAAGTAAGGAATTTTTTTTGAAATACATGTATAATTATTTTATGAAAAATGTGTGGCTAAAATGAAATTTGAAAAAATAAGGATGAAACGGGGGCTAAATCTAACATTTCCTCCTCCCCCACTCTCTCACCACCGCCGCCAAACCCATGCACCATCATACACAATCTACAAAAAGTAAGCCCAAAACCAATAACATCACCATTAAAATCGATCTACACAGCCATCACACAATCTGCTACCACCACTAAAAATCGCACATCATCCACATAAAAACTAACATCCCAAATTCAATCTCGTCACACTGCCACTACTACCACACCACAGTTGACGTCACTAACATCACCATTGCCATTAACACCACCATTGTCGAAATTCGCTTGTATGATTTTTCGCTTTTGCTTTTGTTTTTGCAATTTGGAAGGTTTAGATAACTGAGATGGTTGTGGTTTTTGAGTGGTTCTAGGCGGTGGTGATTGGTTTTGTGGTGGTTAGTGGCGAGCATCAATGGTTGCGGTGACGATGGAGTGATAGTGTTGATTTACTATTGTTTGTGGTGACTTAGAAATTGGAGGTGGTAGTGGTGGTGGCAATGGCATCGATGAAGGTGGGGAGGTTAATAAGTCACTATAAAAAAAATTACACATGATAATAATTTTCTTGTCTTAGTGGCTGACTGTTGGTGATGATGATGACAATAGTGAAATGATAAGTTAATTGTTCCAATGGTCACTAAACTTATATTTATGTTGTTGATTGGTCACTTAACTTTAAAATATCGAGTTTTGGTCATTGAACTTATGTTCATGTCTTTGATTGGCTACTGAACTTTAAAATATTGAGTTTTGACTATTGAATTTTGAAAAATGTCGAGTTTTGATCACTAAACTTAGGTCCATATTTTCGATTGCTCACTGAAATTTAAAATGTCAAGTTTTGGCCATTGAACTTTGAAAAAATGTTGTAAATTAATCACTGAACTTTAAAAAATATTGTACATTATTTACTATAAATTCGATATTTTTCAAAATTCAACAGTTATGCTAGTGAGTAACGTTCGGCATATTCCAAAGTTTAGTGGCCAAAACTCGACATTTTAAATTTCAGTGAGCAACATGAACCTAAGTTCTATGATCAAAACTCGACATTTTAAAGTTCAATGATCAATAAAAGACATGGACCTAAGTTCAGTCATCAAAACTCGACATTTTTCAAAGTTTAGTGGCCAAAACTCGATATTTTAAAGATTAGTGGCCAATCAAAAATATGGACCTTAGGTCAGTGACCATTGGAACAATTAACTCTGGTGTAACAATTTAAAGTTACAATTTAAAATAAATTACATACATTTTCTCCTGAAATTCAAATGGTGCCATGGGCAACCCTAGTAACGTAGCAATCTAATTAATCAAAAGAATTTTTTTATTAAACATTTTAAATATTTCTTAATTAATCATCTTTACTAATTAGTCTAATATTAATTATTCTTCAAAGATCACGTATTTGAACACTAAAAACTAGATTTATCGACATACTGAAATCTCAACGGTTGAATATTTAGTTAATTATACATAATGTCTCCTTGAATAATTCTTACGCAATTTTTTTTTTTTCAAACCACTTTTCTTGTTTTGTAACGTGAACTGTATAGCAGTTGATCACATTGCTCCCAAGATTGTGGTAAGCTGTTGTGAAATGGTTGCTTCATATCTTAATGGGATTTATATTGTCGCTTCTTCCTTGTTTCTATCTTGTGACTGCATGCGAATGTTATGTTTTCGGCATCCCCCCCCCCCCCCCCCCCCTTTTTTAAAGAGAATTTTCAAAGGAAACAACGTTGTATCAATTTTTTTAACGCTTTTAATGCGACAAACTACGTCCAAAATATATATGTAAAAGCATATTCTACATTTCAAAAGATGTTTTGAAAACTTAAAAGTCATACAAAAAACGTCCCTATAATTCTAGGGTGATGGTGTGATTCTAAACTTGGAACTTCAAATTTAAAAGATGATAGACTTGCATAATGTATAACCTATTTGTCATTGTGAGTTATCTCACGTCTTATTGGCAGTCGCAATATGGAGGTTCGATTCCTGAGACATGGAATTGGACTCTTTGTAGGCGCAGCTTACAGACAACTCTTGTTCCCCGGCCTGCTGGGACACATCCCGTGATTTACCTCCCTCACAAAACTCTAAGGGTGGGACAGTAGAAGCTTTCAAGGTTGGAGTTCAACCTTTTTATTTGTCATTGTGATCTTAAGTAGACCAATAATAATAATAATAATATAAGTCAAAAATAAAAAATAAAAATGGCAAACTGATGTGTTCCAGCCGCATATTAATCAAGTTTCTTCTAGCTTCTTCCAGTTGAACTTGTTGAATTTCATTTTCTTAATGTAGAAGAATCCACATGCATGGATGAACAAGAAAATTTGAATTAAAACTCTCCATCTTTTGACGACCACAACTTCAATTGCTTAATGGAGAAGGAATCTATGCAAGAAGATAATTTGAAATGAAATTCTTTAGCCGCAATTCTTGTTTGGTTTTTGGCCACAAGTTTATAACGTTTTGTAGCCAAAATTTTTCTATAAATATGAGCTACCATAAAGAGAATTAGAAGGTCCCTTGAGAGGAAGAAAAATATGATAGAGAAGAGAGAAAAAAAGAGATATTAGAGAGACTCTTTTCAGAATTTTTTTTTAGTTTGTAAATTCCGTTGTAAATTCTATTCAAATAGAAATAAATTTTTTTTCCTCTTTTATTCTCTCCTCGTGATCGGGGAATCACAACACAAACCACTATTGTTTGGGAATTTCTATATCATTATACAGGTGGGATTCCTTCGTCATTAAGTATTCATTTATATAAATATTAAAGCAATAAATGCCAATTTACAAAGAAAATGATAAAAAATAAAAAACAACCACAAATTCTATAATCTAATCACATGCATAATAAAGATTTCCCAAACCTAACTTTTTTCTTAATATACTTCCACTATAATTATAGATATCCCATAATAACTAACCAATAAAGTTCACAAAACTCTTCAGAACACCAGTTGAAAGCGAAACATCAGCTAAGAACCTCAGACTTTGGTGGAGCCTAAAAATCCTGCTGTACATGGATGTGGTATACTGCCCTCAATGTGCTTCCCAAAATTCATCTTGATTGCTGTTAGCATGATTCTATACATAAATTGATTAGGGTTTCTAGAGGGGAAAAAAAATGATAGGGTAAATTGTAATCTTTTATATTGTGAACTCTTAAAAATAAACCACTATCTTTTTTGCAATATAGGTGGAGGTTTCTTTTTTCTCCTAAAAAATAGTAGAGCTTTTTTCAAAGTTAATCATGTTTGATTAAAATAAGATTACTCCTTTGTCCTTTGGTAATTTTCATCTTATTAGCGCTTCTTGAGCGTGACAACGAAAAGAATTGTTCATCGGCTGTAAAACATTGTTTTGTCGGAGAGGGGGAGAAAAGAGAACCAAAATTTGAAAATCCACCAACAAATTTAGCAAATAACAAGCATGTCAAGCCCTTCTCTTTCGCCGCGGCCACCACCAGTAGAAGATTTGCAGCAGCAGCAGCAGGAACTGGAAGAGAGCTATGAACCCGTAATCATGGATCAAGATCCCCAAACCCAAATCCATGAAATTGAGAACCAACCCAATCAGAGCATGGCTGTGGAAAAAGCACAAGCTGAAGAGCAAGAAAAACCCGAAGCTTTAAAGGTACAAGAATCGTTCCCTGAGTTGCACGTTGCCCTACCGATCACAGACCCCCACGTCGCTGTTTCTGAGGGAACTGTGAAGACTCCATCCCACAATCCTCACAATCGTAGGGGGGTCAACAAGCGGAAGAAGGGTAAGCCCAATGTTAAGAAACAGCAAGCAATTGACAAAAAGATGCAATCTTTGATGGGAAAATTGAATCCCATCCCTTTTATACCCCTCAAGATGCTTGATTTTCCTAAGCATGAGAAGCTTTTGAAGAAACTTGGTTTGTGGGATTTTGTTCATATAGAATTTGCTAGGGATGTAAGGGTAGACTTGATTGCACAGTTGGTTGCTACATATGATCCGAAACTAAGGTGTAGTTATGTTAATGAGTTCCGTATTGCTGTAAATAGGGCTGACTTGGCACGTGCACTTAAGTTGCCCGTGAAGAAGGAAAAGGGGAATATGGGCGGTCTAGAACATGTGGACTTGGATTCTGAGCTCATGTCCGATGAGTCAGAAGGGTTTATTGAGGATTTTGTGTCGAATTGGGTGCTTTTGCATGAGGACTTGTGGATAACACCAATCGAGGTGGTGAATTGGATGAGGATGATAAAGGACGGGCACCCTGAGAAGGTGGATTGGGCCACATTGTTCTGGTTCATGATGGAGAAGGAGTTGACTCAAGGGGAGCACTTGAGGGATTGCTACTATGCATCACATTTTCAGTACTTAATTAAGTCGCAGCGCGAAGAGGTGTTGTTGTTGAGGGAGGAAGATACAGCAACTGAAAAAGTGAAGTTGGATGCGGATGTTGAAGCAAAGGAGGAGGAAGAGGATAGGATTAATGAGGAGGATGTGAAGGTTGGTGTTGTAGGTGAAGGGCAGGAAGTAGAGGGTAATGTGATGGACGGGCTGAGCATTGAGCTAACACTTGGACAAGATGTGGAGGTAGAAGATGCCAAAGATGCGGAGATGATAGGTGTGGACAAGTACAAGGAGGATGATGAGATGGAGGAGGGAGAGGAGCAAGGACGGTGGGATTTTGATGGGAAGAACAACATGGGTAGGCATCTCATGGAGCGGTGTAGTATGGTAGAAGGTAGGGGGTTTGACAGCCTTGAGGATAGGAAAGAGGACGAGAGAGATATGGAAGAGGAGGAGGGAGAGGAAGGGGAGGATGAAGCTGGGCATGGGCTTAATCTTTTGTCAAATGTTGATGCTCTTGAAGAGAATGGACTCACAGGTAATTTACTTAAAACAATGGAGGCAAACCTAATGGGCTTTGGTTCACAGGGACGGCTTCATGACCCGGATACAGTAGATCTTCGTGCTGACATGCTGCATATGGATTCTGCTGCACCATTTCTTAATAACACAGGAAAAAGTGAGATTGTACATGACAATGATATCCCGAATCATTTGCTCAACGATAGAAACAAGAGGTTGAAGATTAATGATACATGGGATCACAAGCCAGTAGATTTTGGAACATGCATTGAGCAAATGCAACATTTCATGGAAAGAGCTAGGGTAATGTATGAGGAGAAGGAACAGGCTCAGGAGCATTTAAGTATGAACCAGCAGGTCTTGCTTAATGAGTTACAGAAACGGGATAACATGATAGAACACTTGCATAAGACTAAATTGGAAGAGGTACAGAAAAGAGACAGGGAACTTTATCGTTATGAGCATGAGCTATATTTAATGGGGGGTGTATTGGATGGTTATAGGAAGACTTTAAAGGAAACCCATAAGACATTTGCAGAATATAGGCACAGGGCTCAGCTTCTGGAAGAATCATTCTATAAGGATGCTGAACCTGGTGGTCTTATGTTGAGCACTGGGGAAATAGAGAAGCTATGTAAGACACAAGAAGAAGAATATCGGATGAATTGCTTAATTTTAGAACAGAAGGCAAAGGAAGCAGAAGAGGGCTATACTGGTCAATTTGAAGAATTTCTTGAGAAGATTAATATGTTACACAAGAAATTGACAAGTCTTGAGACAGATGCTAAAGAGCTTATCAATTATGCACAAAGGAAAATTTCAGAAACCAAAGAAAAAGTTTCTGAAGTTTTGCAGCCTCTATCAAATGAATGATGTGTTGCTCTGGAAGCATTTTCTCTGGCCTGGTATACAGGTGAAATAAATGACTGAAACTTTCATTTAGTGGTGTATAGAAATATGTGATCTGCCTTTTGTTTTTGGTAATTTCGATACAATTAGTTTCCAAATTTCTTGATTTTCTATGATTTCAATTTTTTTGTTTCTTTCCCCATTTAGTGATGATAACTTTTGTGTGTTCCCCTTTTGGCTGTATCAGGAAAATTCATTAGTGAATTACATCTGAAAATTCGAACTACGAGACAACAAACATATGGTGGACAGTTTGCTTCCTTATTTTGTTTCTTTCATGGATCTAAATACATGAGCTGTGTATATTCACATTGCTCAAGTGGTGTATCATTTGAACTTCACCTATCCCATCCTATCCTATCCTATTCTTCTCCAAGGAAGTGTTTCCCTGTTTGATAACTTGAATATCATTTGACATTACATTTGCACTTTGCTACGCTGCATTATCTTTTTAACTTGAAATGCCTATCTGGTTTTGCTATTTTCCATGGAAGGATCCCTTTATGAATGTTAGTTGAGATTACTGGAACTGAATTTGGATGTCATCTGGATTGTTTCTTTTAATTTTTTCGAATTATGCTTGTGTCCAACATTGTCACCCATATTGATGAAGGTTCTGCTATATCTTAAATCTTTCGTATTTTTATGAAAGCTGCAAAGAATAATACACGAAGGTTTGCACCAATTGATTGCATGATTTTAGATTTCTTTTTCTTTTCATTACCTTAGACAGGTCTTGTCATCTCGATACATTTTAATGTTGTAGTAGATCTTTACTAGCATGACAACTGCCCTTTCTATTTTGTTTTCTTTTCCATTTGTCCTGACTATAAGAAGAAATCAAAATCCACTATATTTTCATCTACCTTAACTTTCTGCTGGATTTTTCTCTGAACCCCCATGTCGATTAAGAACAGAGAAACTGGGTTGGTAGTTGAACATTGGAGGACTAGTGGGCTCAAATCGCTCTCTCTCTCTCTTCCTTCCCCATCCCATTATTTTGTTGTTAACGGAATATTCATAACTACACTTATTTCTGGTTTCATTTTGAATATCCATTACAAACTTTGCTGTCAGAGTTAAGCATGTTCTTAAGGTTAGTGATGCAAATAAATTGTCACCTCCACCTCACCATTTTCAGTATATGTTAGCTCGGATGGCGCTTTGCTATTTATTTGGGTGTGAAACTGCGCAGATATAACTAAATATCGATCTACCAAGTTGACAATTACAATTTTGTTTTACAGGTTGTTAATAGCTCCATCATTTTTCAACTTGGGATGAACTACTTTCTGGTGGAGACTTTGTAAGATAAGAAAATTGAACAATTATCAAGTATTCTAGTAATGCTTTATGGTGGTAGAAATTCGGGGTACTTACTTCCAAGGTGCAGGACTTCTTTAACTGATCTAAACCAGTCCTTTTGTAAATTACATAGCAGAGCTCAAAACAGTAGCAAAAAAATGTAGTAATCAAAATTTAGATATTATAAAAGGAGGCTTCGATTTGGAACTGTTATTGGAGTTATTCTTTCTGTTAGTGATTGATATCTAGAATTTGAATATTATGAGCTTCTAATGTTCCTTGTTAGGTTATGCATGCAGCACTGGATTTTGAACTGTTTTCAGAGTGTATTGTTGCTGTTAGTGACTGGAAATATTGTTTTACTTTATAAATG